CAGCTTCTTATTTTAAAGACCGGCTTCAGATCGGTTTTTATTATGAATTTATACTATAAGTTTAAGCTACTAGCTCTCTAAATGGTCTTAGAACTGACCGTAATTAAGCCAAAAGAGACTTGACCGAACTGAACTGAAAATAGGTCGAGCCGGACCGAACCGGACTATTAACATCCCTAGTTGTAAGTAGGGACGGGATTTAAGTGGATTTGGAATTTCTCCTTTCAGGGTGGTGTTATTTTATATAAATCCCTCTAAAATTCTAAGAAATTCCAAGTCCACCTAAATTTCGCTCCCACTTAAAACAAAGTACACAGTACGTACGTACGTACAACTGTCGTAGATCTTGTATGCATTAGTTAGCAAGTTTAGGCAGGTTTAATTTCAAGTGCTTGAAATTACAACTCAAGCAGATACTTCTTCAAGCATGACACTACAACGGAATTAGGCACATAATTCAATCACTTCACGAAATTAATTTTCGAAAAAAAAAATGAAACAAATTTTGAACACACAATTATACGTACAGTATAAGGGAAGGTATACGGAAAGTATATAAAACTAGGAAAACAGATACTGTTAGATATCCGGAGCATAGTTAAAATAAAAGTAAATGTATTGGTTGATATAGTTGATAAATTAATGATCATCTATCTAAAAATAGGTGCGGACATAAACACACACAAAACCTGGTCTATTACTCCACCATAATATCCTCCGCTACGCTCCGGATAAAAATACATTACTACACGTAAAAGTATTCTGGACAACATGTAAAAGTACACGTCAATACGTGCAGTGTTGCGTGATTTAGACGTGCTGTTAAGTGCACCGTCCAGATATGTTTATGTGCAATTTAGTTTTGTTCCATACTCAAAATTCCGTGCACACGTGCACTGATTTCTTATAAGCCCGAAGAACACCGAAATCAATAACCTATCGAATTCAGCCGAAATCCCAGAATTTACGCCAAAAAATCATTCGGCTAATTGTATCAAGTGCCTCAAAGTTTTATGATAACAGCTATAAATGGTGACTTTTTCAATTGACCCGGTTTTCAATTCAACTTCCACTCGGGTGACTAATAGCTCACCCGTTAGGTGACCCAGTAGATGACTTTTTGTAGTTGACCCGGTTTCAACCCGAGTGACTTACGGCCTACTCGTCGGATGAGATTTTTAGACGGGTCCAAACACTATTTGAAAGATACGGATATATTAAAAAACTTTTGTAATTCATTTTCGACAAATGCTAAAATCTTGATTTTTTAGTATCTAACCTTTCAATATTAGCATTTAAACAAGTTAAATACTAAAAAATCAAGATTTTAACATTTGTCGAAAACGAATATTCATATCTTTCTGTAATTCATTTTCGACAAATGTTAAAATCTTGATTTTGTAGTACTGTATATAACTTTTTTAATAGCATTTTTTGTTCGTGTAATAATATTACACAAATAAATGCTAATATTAAAAAATATATTAAAAACTGAAAATCAAGATTTTAATATTTGTCGAAAATGAATCACATCCATATCTTTGAAAGTACTTGAGAACTCTTTGTAAAAGATATGCTAACACCTAAGTGTTTAACAATTTTTTGAACTGATAAGCCTTCTAAAAAATATTTTTCATTTGCCAACGAAGATACTTTAAAAGTATGCCTTATAATATTCCCTATAAAAAAATCTCTTGGCAAATCGACTCCGCTTTGACTATTTACAGGACGTTTATTGGATATTATACGTTTTGTACAATAATCATTTATTCTATTTTCAGTATAAGAATAAACCCTGTTCGGAAAATCGAATAATTTTAGAACAAACATTTTTATACGTAGGGATTTTATATTAGTCACCTGAACTTATTGAATCTATTATGCCGAAATCAAATAACAACCGAATCGGCTGAAAAATCATTCGGCTAATTTTTTGTCAGTTGACCAGAATATGAAACAGCTACTATATTATACATAGCTGTTATATATAGAAGTAAATACTGTACCAGAAAAGTTTGAAGGGTGAAAATTCTCTAACTGAAACCAATAAAACGTTAAATAATCACGCTGCGTACTATCGGAAATGACCGTCGGGAAGCTGTGCGACATGATTCAGATAAATTCATCGGCGTCAAAAATTGACGTACATGATGTTACACGAAACTGAGACTAGTAGGGAATAATCCCAGCCAATAGAAACTTGAGAAAAATTAGTAAACTCGCGAGCTGCTCACCCCTAAGATATCAGCTGATATCTGACACGTCCCTTACATGCAACAAAATGACAAAGTCCACAGTACGATTTGAAGGGTTCGCTCATTTATGCTTCTTTCCAAGCCCCAGTTCAATTAATTGCGAGGATAATAATAAGGCTCCAAGTAATTCTACTTCTAAGGTAGCTGCGGAAAATACTCAAACCTTAGAGAATAACTCTACAGAAAATAGCTCACATCAAGTTAAATGTTCTCAAAATATATCGTCGAACCTTCATGAAAAGACATCTATATCACCATTATACTTCAAAGGACATATGATCTTTGAAAAAATGTCAGTGCATTTTGCTTTAAGAGGTATTCCCTCGGCTACTGCGCCACCAGATACATATGATCATGGATGTCTACATGAAAAACCAATATATTATGATGTTTCTGTTCAGGATCACGATGCAAAGCAGAAATGGGAATTTAAATGGGTCAGATGGTGGGGAGGTGATGCTGGTTGGATGAGTTCAGACCCGAGGTGTCGTGTTACCGGTGAAAGAACTGTGTCTGAGCAGGAATCTGCCGCTGAAGAACAGTTCATCTGGTTTGGCACAAATTTGATAAAAGGCAATGAAGAAGCTCAAAAGCACGCGAAAAAATATTTGAATATGAAAGTTGATGAAGAGGAAATTGATATTTCTCATGTTTGTATAGGTGAGATGAGGCTCATTGTTGAATCTGACAAGGTTGATGATAACTTTGAATTGTTTGATAATGAGAATGGATCTGTGTGCAATTATGAAGTTCTGGGCGATTTGAATGAGACGGATGACGAAGAAAGCGAAGACTAGAAAAAACAAATAGGCTGATTATTGGAAAGTAGATTTTTATAAAACCTATATAAGTACATAAAATTTATATAAAAATTTATATATTTTTATATAGATATTATAAATATAACTTTATAAAAATTCATTATAACTTTTATGCGTTTATGTATATAGTTTTTATATATACAATATATTAATAAATTATATACTGGATGTTTGAAAATCTCTGGGCAGGATCTTTTTGCTAATTACTTTGGGACTCTATTAATAAAATTGATTACGTATACTAATTAATCAAATCTGTCAGGCGTTATAGATTTTATAGTAACAATCAATAATACAGATTTTATGCAAAATTGATCGATTACTCGCGGATAGATTATTATTATTAGTATTTAAAAAATCGATTCACCTCCCTAGCCATGGCGAAGAAAGTTCGGGTCACGTGATAGGTGAAAAATTTTTAAAGTTTATTTATGATCGGATTAATGTTTATATTAGGGTTAGATTTTAGTAAAATCTCTCAAGAAAATTTTTTGGTTAGAGCGCAGAAGGCGGTTTCTTATGAAAACTTTCTACGTTACACGAAATCGGGAGTCGTTATTGGATAATTACCCGCAGATCGTCACATGACCCGAACATTTTTCGGGTACTTTTCACCTCGCATACTACGTAATAATTTTTTTGCCAATTTTTGCGGAAAATGATTATTATAGTATTGTAAAACGAAGTTACGGTTTTATATTTTTAATTAATTAAAGATTTTTTTAAATTTTACATATAAACTTTTAAACAAAAGTGAATTTTATTACGAATTAACCTTATTAGTAAATGAAATTTAAAGTAACTTCTTTTTACAATATAATAATAATAATAATAATCATTTGCCCCAAAATTTGTCAGAAAAAATTATTAGAATCGATTTTTTAAATATTAATAATAGATCTATGCATAAAATCTGTATTATTCATTTTTATTATAACACCCAACATAGCGCTAGATTTGATTAATTAGTACGCAGAATCCCAGTATAAGCTGTTATTTACAAGATTTTTTACAATAATAAGTATTATATAACTTATATATATCTAAACATGTATAAATTGCAAAACTTATATTAGATTCAGAAGGGACCGAGTCCCAAATGTTAGGTTAGACGTTTTGTTGATTGGCGCAACTTTGCATGCATAATCATTGATGTATAGATATTACATTTTATTTATTATTGCAGCCATGTTTTTAAAATTGTTAGTTGCATTTTATGTCATCACTGTTTTATCATCTTTTTTTTTTTTTTTT